AACATGAGATAGTAAAGTCTTAGTGGTTCATGTCCTTTTCACTTATGGCTTAAATATGTAGTCTCTCTGTTCTTAAATATCTGTTGTTTATGATTTTTACACAGGGATTATGAAAGTTATTAAATAGTTGTACTATGAGTAAAAAATAATTACACAAAACTAAAATACCCTTATTCAATACGTATTGAGAAGAAAATGAATATAAAAGACACTTAGCCTCCACCTTATTTCATGCATTGAAAAGTTAAGGGTAAATTTGGAAGAAAAAATATTAATTATGTTTTAGTTTCATTAAACGACATATATTATGGAACAAAAAAAATTGTGTAAAACGATAGATATTTAAGAACGGATGAAGTAATTTATATGGCTTATTTATAACTTATCATTGCTTTGGAAGGAAAAAAACCTTTAGAAAATAGTCATAATAAATTTTTTTTATTTTTTTCAGAAAATGGTCATAATAATCTTCAAAAAATTCACATGAATGCATGGTGAAAGATTTTTCACCCCACAAAAGTTTTGATTTTCTGCATCATGTATCAAAGGAGTTGACTAATTTTCAGAACACTATTGCAAATTTCGTTTCATTGAATTTTTTTGCAACCAATGAAATCTTTTCTAGCTATGATGTCATTTGTGTATTTTTTTTTTTAATTTTGGGCATAACCTTTTGAATAATTCAACAAAAATTTTATTGTCCCGAAAATTTAACTTTGTAAAAAATTAGACCGGAAGATTTGGAAATCGAATCCATATGGGCCGTTGAAGTTTTAGACCCAACCCAATTTAAAGTTTTGCAAAGCATTCTTTTGTATCGAAATTTGAGTGTATAATAGTCGAACCATCTGTTATAGGTCGAAACCCACACTTTAGATTCGTATATATTTTATCTAATTTAAAAAATCTAAAAATGAAATAATAGGAAAAATAAAAGAATCCGAATCCCATTACCTAAATTTTGCCACCAGCTTACAAAATTCACAGATTTGCAGGTTAAAGGAGAACATAAGACTTTATAAGCATACAAGAACCTATTGTTTGCCTTACCCTTTCTTTTCTTCTTTCTACAATGTTAACTAGGCCTTTCTTACTATAATATCTTCCCTCTAAAGCAGCAAAATAAACTTTCCTGTTTTGATTCGTGTAGATGGTCTCATAGTCAATAATTTGGTACTACTACACTGAAGGCACATTAGATAAAGTGTTGCACGCTTACTTTATGTTAGAGCTGACAATAAGTCATGTTATGTCAAACTCATATCGTGTACAGTCATGTATAGAGGAATTAGTGTCAACTCATTTATTAAATAGATTTGACGGATTAATCGATTATGACCCAGACCCATCAAGACTAAACTCATGTCAAATAATTTCGTATTAATTTGGCGAATTGTGTTAAAAATTCCCAAACAAACTTTTTGCCATTGGCATTGTACGATTTCAAAAAAGGGAAAACAAAGATTGGTGGAGAATCTGTAAAGGTGGATACATATCATATGCAATTAGTGTCTTCATCTAACTACGGTGAACTTCTCAACCTTGAGCAATTGAAGGATTGCAAATAAAAGAATCAAATCCAAATCATAAAAGCCTCAAGGAAGAGGAATTGATATAAGAATCATTATACTCACTTTTTATACTTTAAGTAGGTAATGTCATCAAGGGTTTGATCTACCACCACTACCTAACATGAAGGAAAAATCAGTTAAACTACTACTTTATAGCTCATACAATCATACATAAACAATATTCAAAACTAATCACACCTGAATTAGCTTTCCTAAGCAACTAACTAGTTCCACAACATATAGTTTTTGGAGATTTCTCTCACTATCCAACTGGGGATACTAAATAATTTTATCAATAGCGTGATACTCGATTTGTTGACCACAAGGCGAGAGATAAGTAATCAGCCTCGAAAAATTAAAAAGGGATTAATTATTGAAAATACCCTTTAACTATGATCCGATATCACTTGATTACATTAAACTATTAAACTCCAAGGGTGGCTTCTTCAATTATTTTCATTGAATCACTTAACCACCCTCAATTTTCCAGTCACTCCAAAAATGACAACAAAATAGAGCTATAAAAATTACATTACCAAAATATATTATTAATCTTTTGGACTACTACGAGAGGCATTTCGTTCGTATACTAGGATTTATAATGAAGCATTTCTATTACTAGAATAGGCCCCTTTAGGCATCCGGTGTTTTGTACTATATTGTAACACTACTTATTGTTTGTACCTGAAGGTACAAAGTAATAAAAAATAATAAACAATAAATATATTTGTATTCATATCCAAATCACGAACATAAAAGAGATATCAATGAATTTAAGTATCAGTTATAGTGGGAGTGAAAGGGGGTGGGCGACAGTGGTGGTGTTAGGAGACGGCGATAGTTGTGGTAGGTGGCAATGATCGTGGTGACGGTGGTGGTGACAGCGGTGGTGGTGATATAGGTAGTGATAGAGAGGTAGTGGTAGGGCGGTTTCAAACACTATTTTTTTTTTAAGTACTTATGAAAAATAATTCATACAAGTACTTTTAAAAAGTCACTCCAAACACACCCTTAGGATCTTATTTTTCCTATTAAATGTAGGGTGTTAATATTAGTCGTTAGATTAACTTTAAAGTAAAATTTAAAGCGATCTGAATCGCGAAAAATAAAAATCATTTGTTTATCTTTTGAAATTTGAATTGTAAGTTATTTTATTAAATAGATTATCCTCTTTGGAGATAAAATTTACATAACTAAAAAAAATAAAATTGTTCTATAGATTAATTAGCATTTTATTGTTAGATAAAATCTCGTAGCTCAATTCATAAGAAAGTTAATAAGATTTTTCTAGTTGGCATTTGTTGGGGGTGGATGAATTCTAGAACTTACCAAAACATAATCAAATCATTAATTAAAAAAGCTCAAATAATTATGTTACACGCCCACAAAAACAAGAATAAAATATTTTACGAAACAAATGTTAAACTTTGTCAAAAACAAAATGTAGAAAAACTAAAGAAGGCAAATTTGAATGTCAAATGGTCATTGCTCAGCATGATCTTCGTCAATCGAGGTTGTTAGGAAGGAGGGACTAAGCATATCTATGTATAATTGTATATCATTAAAATTATTTGGACAACATTATTGTACTATTATTCAAACATGCAAGCATATAGTTGTTAATCGAACAACTTTATTATTATCACATCAAACAAGTCTAAATTTCAGATGAGTGTCAATGAATAACTTTTAAAAAAATAGTAATTACATAATAAATCCTCTGGTTGATCTGTTTTACAGATTCACCAAAGTAACACCTCACGGCTCACGCAAATTACAAAGCCAAAACCAGTGGAAGTTCGGATCAAAATATTAATAATAATAATAAGGAAAAATTACACCTAAACTATCTAAAGTTTATCATTTAATCACTCAGATCCCTTGACATTTGAAATATTACATATAGGTTTTCTGAAATTTGTACACGTATAACACTTATACCCCTGCCGTCAAATGATTGTTAGTATATACGTTAACAAGTTACACCCAGACCCTTTGAAATTTAAAGGCATATTATATTTAAACCCCTCAAAATTCATATTCTATTGTATCATTTATTGAAATAAAATCAAAAATAAATAGTCAATATTTACTTAAAAAATCATAATTAGTTTACAAATATGTTATCTATTATAATAAAACTAAAAATTTAAATAAGGGGTTTAAGTCATTTATAATAGAACATGAATTTTACAACCAAAATTCATGTTCTATTATGTCATATATTGAAATAAAATCAAAAATAAAAATTTAATTTTTTTTAAAAAATCATAATTAGTATCCAATTATACTATCTATTGAAATAAAATTAAAAAAAATCAAACAAGTGGTCAAATTATAATGGACATAGTATATTCTATATATAATTGAGGTAATTTATTTTTAATTTTGTTTCAATAAATGTCATAATATAACATGAATTTTAATTGTAAAATTTAAAATATTTGATATTTTATTTTTACTTAGTGTATTTTTGGTCTAAGTATAATATTTTAAATTTGAGAGATTTAAGTATCACACACCTAAAAATTTTAGGAGGTCTAAATATAATTTACTAACGGATATGCTAACGAGCATTGATGACAGAGATTTAAGTGTTGCATGCGTACAAATCTAGGGAGATCTGTGTATAATTTTTTAAATAATAGTTGAGTGTCATTCTCCCTCACAATAATTGGGTACAGTTCTCTATAATTTTTGAGATACACATTGTAACATTAATTATGGGGATATATTTAAAAAAATACCCCAAGTACTTTAAAAATGAATTTTATCATTAAAAATATAAGCCTATAGAAAATGACAAGCTAGCAAGATTCCAACACGACCCCTAAATTCATCCGAACAGCTATGCTTGTAGATCCCATAGATTATAGAAGCCCATGTGATAATCGTACAGCCCATTCGCTCTCTCTCTCTCTCTCTATACTTATATTTGCACACATGCATCGGTATATTTAGAACCCCCTTACACGTGGAGGTTTTTTTTTTTATCAAAACCAGCATCCCTTAAAATTTTATTCCGAAACTCAGTCAATTTTTAAACTTATTTCTCAATCTTAATTTTTTTTTTAAAATGTCATTTACAATAACATCTTCTGAGTAAAAAATATCATTTAAAATGACGTTTTTAATTAAACAAAGATTGTGATAATTAAGCAATAAAATATAATTTAAAGTGGCGTCTTTAAAAACGTCATTTTAAATGATATTTTGAAATTACTATTTTAAACGGCTTGGTAACGACGTTAGACATTATGAAACTTAATAAAACGTCATTTGAAATGATGACTCTAAAGGCGTCATTCTAAATGACAATTTACACGAATAAAATATAATCAGATCATTCAAATTGAACAATTCCCAAATCCCAAATCACATCTTAGGGCAATTTTTTTTTAAACTCTCTCATATCCCTCTCTACTATAGAGCTCTCCTCCTCCTTCAACCACTCTCACCACGGTCTTCTCCAGCGAGGAAGATTGGTCTCTCTCTCCTCCTCCAACCACTAATCCATTGTTTTCTCCGATGAGGAAGATTAGTCTGAGGAAGACCATTCCGACGAGGAAGATTAGTATGAGGAAGACCATTCCGACGAGGAAGACAAGTCCGACTGAGTAGCTTAACTCTGGCAACACATTTTCTCTGGTGGTGCTCCCTACATTTTCTCATGTATTTCCCCCCTCTCTCTCTGTGTAAAAATATACTGTCAAAATATATCTACGTCTACAAATTCAATCTAAAAATAATTCCTCCAGATCCACCCAAATTTTTTTATTGAGATATGTTATCTCCTTCTTTGCTGCTGTTTTTTTCTCCAAACAATTAATCCAAATCTAAAGTATGAATTAGTACAATCCACATTCATTGACTTATGGGTGAATCCATGTGTATGTGGGTGGCTTGTGGTGGAGATATGTGTGGGTGAATCCATGTGTATGTGAGGTGTTTGACATTGTGTTTAGCCTAGGATGGGCGTGTCTTGCAACAGTGTAAAATTCAATTGATGGTCTTTTTCGGCACAAGGTCCTGTAATCACAGCCCAGTCAAGTTTGATCATACTCCCATAAAAAGGATTTCAATTCAATGTTCTAATCCTTCTAAAGTGGCGTTCAGGATTAATTTTCGTGTCTTCATGTCATTTTTGGATTTTGTTTATATTGTTATATCTTTCTTCTTCTTGACTTTGTTATCAGCCAAAAGTAAAAAATCAATCCTATGTGCATTATTTTGTTTCTAGATCAAGATGTTATCTATGAAGGACACAATGACTATTTGAGTGCATAATTTACAAATTATGATGTGATAATTTGAATGTATTCGAACATTGTTGAACGATGTCTATAATTTTACCTTCTTGATCTTTATTTTATACATTCTTGTTTATATTGCACATAAAAGATGATAATTCAGTTCAAGCTAATCCTAAACCATTCTCGACAGTCCAAAACCGTTGTACCTAAAGCGTATGAACCCACTCAAATTTTGGATCAAAACATTTCTGCATGGTACATCTCAACTTTATGATTATATATATTGTAGGGTTAGAGATTGTGGTGATAATTTTATGAGAATTTTCAAACCTTGATCATTCATCCTCTATGCTTCCTTAGATTCATCATTGGTTGTATCCTTGACAAAATTTGTGAACCTGTCATTTCCTATATTGATTTGGGGGAGTTAGTAAAGTCCACTGATTCAAATACTCACTTTCTTGTTTAATTGTGAAGTTTTTTGCCTTTATTCACGTTACTAGAGGACCATGATCAGTGTCAGATTCATATAACTCGATCAGTATCGAAGTTATATAACTCAAAAATTTAATGGTTACATGAGAAATGATTGATTAAATATTATTCTTTTATTGATGGTGATTGAAGCTTTTATGATCCTTTAAGTTGAGTCTATAACAATAATTTTTCCCCTAATCGATGTTGATTACGAAGGATAGTAGATGGTATACTACAAGTATATTGTGTCATCTCCACCAACAAAACATATATTATTCAAGGAATCCCTACGAATTCTAATTTTAAATTTTATGTCTTTGTTGTAGAATTGTTAAGAATAATTGGAGGACGTGCTTCTATGATGATTTATTGGGGTGATACCATATTCAAGAACGATGATGTTTTATAGAACGATAATAGTTATAAGCGTGTGATAAAGGTTGCTCAAGACACAAGTCACTCGGCTTTGGTGGATAGGTTGCATGCATGATGTGACGGGGATAGATAAGAATCTCATATGTAGTTTTTCTATTGCATTGAGAACTAACCTCTTTACATATATTCTATTAGAAGTTGTTGACAACAATGGTGTGGAGGTAATGGTGAATGTTGTATTCGACAATCAAGATGTTAACAAAGTAGATTTGTATGTGAGCGAAGAAGCTAAGTCCAATGATATTGGTGAAAGTAATGAAGGTTGGCCTGATGGTGGTTCATACTCTTCCCTACTCAGCCAACAACTATATATCCTAATGCTTGAACCTTCAGCAATGTTGGATAATTATTACAACCCTTTAACGATGCAGTGTATGGTGCAACTGCATTTCATGGGCAAGAGGATGTTTAGCCTGCGCACGATAGGGCTGATGCAGGGTTAGATGGAGTCGATATAGATATGGGCTCTACACACGACACTGTTGATGCACATGTACTACATGATGGTCCCCTTAGTTGTAGGTGCATAATAAATAACAATGCACTCTAATAGATATTTTACGTATTATTATATATTTATAAATTTATTGAACTATATAGATGAAATGTAACATTTTCAAAACAGCACACTCCTATTCATGTACTACGTCACTATCGAGACCAGCTGGACCAGATGCGAGAGGATCAGGTATATCAATTTGACTATATCTTACAAACTCAGATGTTCATTGTTAAAGTTTGTTAGTGTGTTGGGTTGATTGCATTGAATTTACATGTGAAGTAAGTGAATGTTGAGATGGTGGGATGTTTATTTATATTTGTGTATGTCTGCCATTGAATTGGGTGTGTTGTATACAAGTTAAAATTTTTTAAAAATATCCTGTTTTCAAAGGAAATTCTACCCAATTTTTTTAAAAATACTTTTACATTTATTAATGAGTGCTCACAATTTGTATTTGCAGATGATATGAGAATCGTATACATTTGAGGTAATAAGTCACGCTGCCAAAGTATTGCCTTATTGGGTAAGATATTTGACGCATACACATGCCATTGATTTGTGTTGATGTCATAGAGTGACATTTTTCAGATCAAGTTACTAGACAATTTGGTCTTATTCAGCGCATACCACAGCCATGCAACACGAGTAGGGATTTGCATGCTGTCAACCGTCAAAGTAGATCTAGAAGGGATTGGACTGTAGTTCATCAGGTGTACACGGAGATGTGGGCACATCGTAGAGATACCATTATTTTTGAAGACTTGAGTACTGCACTAATGGATCCGACCGACGCATAAATGCAATGGTATTATCGCATCACTCGGTGGCTTGTTGGTCCACCCATTACTAGTCCTACTGTCAGTTTTCAGCCAATTGGAAGCATCATAGAGTTGCTGGTAATATGTTGTTAAATGATTTACTATTGGATTGTAAGAAACATTATTAATAATTGTTTACTACAATTAATAATGTGTTGTAATGTTTCTGTAAGAAGAAACGCTTACACGAATATATCATACTACACGTGGTACATATGAGGGCAGCCGAGACTTAACACTTTGCATGGATACCATTGGGCGTATTACAAATATGAGCTCCTTATATTTGGTATCCATCCATAAGCAGCGACGACTTGTCGACGCTTTAGTCTCGGTAGTTGATGTTTTGTCTACATCTACGCAGTGACCTGCTTTATAGTGATTGGACTACTTTTGTATCTTCATCACCATCTTCGACATTTGTTTTTTCATCAATAAGCTATTCATCATCACCTACACCTGCATCAGCATCAGCATCGGCACCGGCTCTTGCACCCATATCGACACCTGCGCCAACATCGACAACGGCACCTGCACTTGAGCCGACATTGACACCAACAGTAGCACTTGCTGTTACATCGACCTCAACATCCACCCTGTCACCGACTCCAATTGTGCCCATACTAACACCGACACTTGCACCGACCCCACCATCCACCCCGACATCGACTCCAGTTGTGTCTACAACGGCGCCAACACCCACTTCGACACCAACTTCAGTTGTAACCACACCGACACCAACATCTACATTTACAATGACACATTCTCCTACACATGTGGATGTTCCCATTTTCACTCTACTAGTAATGTCAGCAGATGTTACCATGAGGTCATCACACACATTCCCTCCTACCTCTTCTAAACAGCCTTCCTTACCATATCCATTGTTAGATGAGGAGGGAGTGAGATAAGATGCTAAAGTTGTAGATGTAGGACATGTGCGAGCTGGACCGCGAGTTAGAGGTGGGCAATAGGGTTAGTGACAGGGGAGAGGTCATGCACAACATGCAGATTATCACGATGACGTCGGTGTGTCACAGGTGACATAGGCTGCACCATAGAATGTTGAGCAAGAGGTTCGCAGATAGCCGAAACGACATAGGCAATCATTTGCGTGTAGGACATGAGTTTGATGTATTTGTCGACTTTTTTTTTTTTTTTTTTTTTCTGAACTATACAAATTTTTTTCTTTTGTTAATGCGTTGTCACATATATAATTAATATTGTACACTAACCTTGAATGAGTTTCAACATACTATGTGCTGAACTGACTAAACCCTAAATGAGTTTTTGCATACCATTTGTTAAAGTGACAACACACATTTGATAAGGGTAAAGACTGAAATGACTTTACCTAAATCTGATGCATGATTAAACCCCTATTGACCTCTGATGACTACACTATCTTACTATTGACTGATGTGACCTGCTTAGCACACTAAGGTTTGGACACTACTATTTAAACACCTTATTTGTGGTTGATATGACAAACACAACATTATGTCTACATCAAATTTCTCTACGAGATTTAACAATCGCAAATGTAAACGAGTTTGGTTTTTATAATAGCAAAACCATGTTTACAAGAATGAGAGATTTTTTGATCCAATAAAGTATTATGCAGGAGTACAACGAGATTGGACTTTTCGTGCTAAAGAATCAAACGAACTATTCACACAACTAAGAGAATTTGGTTTACCAGTGCCTCGTAGATGATCACTAACAATGCAACGTCAGAATAGAGAGTGCTACGAATCATCAGTAAAATAAGTTCACAAAGAGAATAATAGATTGTTGGTTCATAGGTGTCGCTATTATATACTCAAACAAGTAAAAGACATGATGAAAACTGCACATAGACGAGAGTAGACACCAGTTGAGTAAAACAATATATTGTCTAATGTAAAATACCTGTCAGATGATAATTTGCCTGATGAAGCTTAATAAAGTCTATAATTGTTAATTTGTGATATAGTAAGCCTGTGTAACTAATATAGTGTCAAGTCATGTTAGTCCTTTTTATTTGAATTGTTATGTTATTACTTTATCATAGTGAAGTCATTTCATTGCTTTATTAGTGTAGTTATTCTACTGTCAAGTCATGCCCGTCATTTTGCCATTTATAAGTTGTGTCATTACTTTATCACTGTTAATTATCCATAATTATTTTATCTGTGTCAAGTCATGTTAGTTGTACTTAGTAATTGTCCTGTCAAATTCATATATAATTGCATTTCGTGTCTATATAAACCATCCTTATTAATTGTGTACATCATAACCAAAAAAATGTCTAAGCACACATCTAATAGGCAATCCAATTAAACCACTCAAGGTTCTTCATCACACAATGAATAACAAAGTTCATCTTCAACCAACCAACATGAACGCTTGACTAGCCGAGCAGCATCATCAAGCGTAGTTCGTTCAATTGAATCCTACATAGATTTTACCGGTGTAACTTGGTATAGACAAAAACGTGAGTTCCGTAATGAGCCCATCAACCCTTATCTCTTATTCGGTAAAATTGGACACATATTTGTGGGCCCTACAACTGACTATCCGCTTCTGAGTATTTATATCGAACTCATACCAAGATGACAACAATTATATGACAAACCTTGTGGGCTTGAATTATACTGTCATTGGTATAGATTAATGGTATCAAAGACACGTTCGACTGATATATATAATCCACAAAACTCTACCAATCATAACGAGATCATAGTAAGTTTGAACCTGAAAATGATCAGATACATCGTAGATTTGATTGTTTAAATGCAATCGAGCATGCAAAAGTTGAGTATTTTGATCTTGACTATGCTGAGATTCAAATTTTACATGATCCGTCACTTGTTTCGAACACTTAACTTTTGGATTATTTTGATTTAAGTGATGATACATCTGATACATTTATTCCATTGAGTTTATGTGTGTTCGGTAACCCTTTATCTTATTTTTTACATCAACCACAATATTGACATACTATATTTTTTGCAGTCTCATGTAATGAAATTGTTTTGTTTAATGCATAATTGTCTTTTTCCATATTTTCATGTGTTTGTACACTTTTTATTAGTTAACTCTCATTGTTCGATGAACTTATATCATAAAATTAGAATAAACAATTTTTTAACATATACAAAACAAATTGCTCAAAATTTGTCACAAAATTCATGTACTACAAACAAACAATTTTAAGCATTTTTTTGTAGTAATGCACTGAATTAACTTTTTTTTTATTTATAACTTGATTTTTTAGTATCTTTCAAAGTTTATAAATTTCTATGTGAACACATGCTAATAATTTAATATTTTAGCGAACAAAACACTACTGAACAAAAAAAATTAATATCATTAAAATAACAAACTCTTACAACTGCGTTAAATAATTTAAAAATATTTTTTATATATTTATGAAAACGTCATTCAAAATGACATTTTTAAGCCAACAATTTTTTAAATGTCTGTTATATTTTGACGTTTGAATTCACTTCTTTTAACGTCATTCTTCACTGATGCCTTAAAAAATGTTATTACAAATGACGATTTATAGGAAAAAAAATTTAATTTAAAATCGTCATTCCAAATGACTTTTTAACCCTTTAAAGTATTATTCTAAATGATATTTGTAAAAAGAGACTTAGTTTGAAAAATAAATTTAAAACTGACTGAATTTGAGAATAAAATTTTGAGACCGACCGGTTTTGATCAAACCCTCCTTACACGTGTGCCCCATTTTCTTTCTAGAAAAGCGTCAACCCCTTGGCCAGGTCACAATACTTGAATTTGCCCAACATGACTGGGGGCTTCTTAGCCCAATATTGAATCTGTCTATAACAGATATGTGTATTCAGCTAAGAGATAACATTAAGTATGTCCCGCTAAAAACTGTGACAAATCTTTTTGTTCTATACTTTTATTTTTTCTCCATAGTTTCATCTTATTTCCATGTAGCAGGGTATATATATACAAACGTGCGTGTGTGGTTATATATATATATATATATATATATATATATATATATATATATATATATATATATATATATATGTGCGCGTGTCTGTGTGTGCGTGGACTCATTTATCAAATGAGTATTGAGCTTGAACTCGATTCATTTGAGAAGCGAAATCCAACACTTGTATGAGCCCTATTTTTGGTTCTCAAATCACAAGAAGGTAACCATTCATTACACCTGAAATTCAATCCCAAACAACACATATGAACCTAGTTCTAGTACTACCCGAATCCCTGACCATCATGCAGTTCCTTATATATCTTTTTAGTTAATACAAAAACAACATCATTAATTTTTTTTTATAGAAAAATTAGAAAGAAGGAACTTACACTGGTGGTTTCTTGATGGGGTAGGTCTTCATCATGGAGATTGGGAACAGTTTGTGTTGACTCCATACGGATGCAAAGGGGGCCCTTATCAGACCATGCATTCAAGATCTCCTGGTAATCAANTGTGATAACAATATACCTCTATTAAAAATGTGGGACAACCCAAAATTTATAGATTCCGAGTATAAAAAAAATCATTTAGTACGAATAATATTAAAAGTTAGGTTTGTATTGAGTTTATCAACCTCAATATCCATGATCGATGGAACTATACTGAATAATTAATGAACATAAAATAACACTGAACACTTTGATACAAATATCTTCCTCAGTGCCAAATAATTTCTTTCTTTTGAATATATATCAAAACAAAAGGAGCATCAACATGATTTTTGTTGCAAACATGTTCATGTCTTGTAATATAATTTGAAGCTGAACAATCCGCTCCTCCAACCAATAATCTTCTGAATTAAATGGTGTTAATTTATTGATATATTCATTATCATCGAGGAACAAATTAGGTTGGTGAATGAGATTCAAGTAATGTTGCCGCTTGAACATTATGAAAATTGGATATTTTTATCACAACAATTAATATATAAATATAAGTAATGTTATTGGAATTTAATTAAATTAATAATAAATTTTAATATTTAAAAAGATTTACGATCAATTTAATAATTATAATAAATTAAATTTCAATAATATTGTCCTATTCAACCAAATTTGAAGGAAAAAAAAGAAAAAATCTCTCATATGTATACGGCCACTATAATCCCTCAAAAAACGAAGACAATTTATATGCTGACATCAACAAAATATAGTTAAAAGGTATAAAAGCCAAAAACCAAAACCTCAACACCCCCACCGGGCTCCCCCCCCCCCCCCCCCCCCCCCCCCCCCGAGA